TTAACTCTTCTCATGGATATACTTGTCTGCTTCCTATTTGTTAAAAAACAGAGAATGGCTCTGCTCTATTGGGTTTAGTGTGACCTATTTTAATGATTAACCTTTCCTAAAATAAGTGAGCTAAACCAGTCCCTTCTGAGTTCTCCAAGTGCTCCTTTTTTCCTCAAGTGAGAAATGCAAATTTTGGAACGACCACTCACAACCTACACACGATACCAAAATACATGGTGAATAAGAACATGTAAAAGTAATTATATGTGGTGAGATAAAGAGGGTCAATTAAGAAGACCATGTATTGAACAATGGCACCCCCATAGATATGTTAAGATTTTATATCCTTATGTATCAGTTTAAAATTATTTTTAAAAAAATACTACTTGAGGCTGGCAATGGTGGCATAATGCCTATGAGCTCGGCAATTTGGGAGGTTAGACAGAATGTGGAGTTCAAGCAAGTCTGGGCTACATAGTAGACCGTCTCAAAAAAGAAAGAATACCAGTTGAGTGGGAACACGGAAAGCTTCTAGAGGCACTTGAGTCGATTATCTGAATGATTAGAAAGTTTGCCAGGTCCCTGGACAAGACTCTTTTCTGTGTGGTCAGGGTCATAAACTTAGAACATTGTTGTGAAAGATACTGTCTTTAGTTACTTACTGTGTGCCGAGCAATTAATACTGAGTAACTTTGTCTTATTAAATCATCACCCTTAGTGGATTGGGGAAGATTTATATGGGTGGAAACATGTGATAAGGTGGGGAGCAGTAAATCAAACCATAGTGAATTGCACAAATGTCAGATATTAAAAAACCCTTGTGTGCTGTGCTTAAGAGTCTGAAATTTTTATTCTCAAAGGTAGAGTAGATTCCACTAACTGGTTTAAATCGAGGGAAAACATAATCAGATATGTTTTTAGAAAGATTACTCTGGTCATGGAGGATGGACTAAGGGACTTTGCATATTCTTTTGTAAGATAGGAGACTTAGATAAAAGTAAAAGCGCTGTGGGGGTGAAAGATAACATTAAGTAACAATCTGTGGGAACTGTGGGTCCACTTGATAAGAATGAAAAAGGAGTGGTTCCTTAGTTTTCAGCTGTCAGCATACACAGAATGTCCTCAGCTAATGATAGGAAACTTTGAAGGATGAAGCAGCCTTTTGCAGTAAGAAAGGTAATGAAATAGGTTCAACCGTGATACAAGGGCTAGATATTATTCAACTTAGAATGTGTTGAGTTTGAAAGCTCCCAACTTAATGACACTAGACAAGCTAGACTAAAGATGGCAGATAAGGGATTTGAACAGGTATAGGATTTGTACTAGAAATGGGGCATAGAATGAACTAGCACAGAAATAGCATAGACCGCGATTAAGGTGGACCATAAGGCACAAATCTAGATAGGTGCTTGTGGTTCATGCCTGTAATCATTCAGTGGCAGAGAATCAGGAGGATCATGGGTTCAAAACCAGCCCAGGCAACCCTAATCTGAAAAAAATCATCACAAAAAAGGGCTGGTGGAGTGGCTCAGGTGATAGGCCCTGAGTTCAAGTCCCGGTTACCGACCAAAACAAAAGACACACCTATAGAATGTAACATTGAGGACCAGATACCAAAGAAATGGAACAAGCAAAGGATGATAAGAATAAGGTAATCAGAGAAATATAGGAATGCAAAGAGAAACCTGATATATCAGAGTACAAAATACCTGAAGCAAAAGTAAGTAACAGTGTTAGTTTGCCTTCTGAGTAAGAATGAGAAAAATGAGAAATTGAGAGCTGGTTAACACAGAAATTGCATTAGACAGTAGGTAATAGTAATGAAACAGTAAGTTAGTGGGGCAGAAAAATAGATTCAACTAGTTTGAGAATGTTAAATAGTAGGCCAAAAGAACATAGATAACACTATTTTCTTGGAGTTTATATTCCTTTGTCTCACTACATTACGGTCAATAAAGAAAGAATCCTAAAT